CCGGTGTAAACACCGGAACCTTGAGATTAATGCATCTGCATATAGAGACCCACAATACCCTCAGATGATGGTCAGAGATGTAGATCATGTGGAAGCCTGATCTTCCCTCTGAACATCAGTATATCACACTTGCTGACATCTGTTGACAGATTTAACACAAGTACACCAAGCTGATCTGATTGGTCTGTGGTGTGTAAGGGGTTTGATACTGGTTAGATTCCTTCTGGGTGCTCCAAGCGGCTGCCTTGTGGGAGGTTTCCGCTCAACGTTATCTGCTGTTTCAGGCACCGGAAACACCAATACTGATGGCACGTACAAGCCGTCGTTTCTGACAGACCAAGAATTGAAGCATCTGATTTTGGAGGCTGCAGATGGCTTCCTGTTTGTAGTGACTTGCGACACGGGCCGCATCATCTATGTGTCAGATTCTGTGGCCCCGGTCCTGAATCAGCCACAGAGCGAATGGTTCGGCTCCTGTATCTTTGACAATATACATGCAGAGGATGTGGAGAAGGTCCGCGAGCAGCTGTCCACGCAGGAACCTCAAAACACAGGCCGGATCCTGGACCTCAAGACCGGCACTGTCAAGAAGGAGGGCCACCAGTGTGAGTACAGGCCATCATTCCATTTGCTTTCATTTGAAGCTGTAATAGTGCCTTCACGTGGCACATGTGTGCCAGACTGCGTGGCAAACTGAAAGGCTTCATTCCTGCAGAGTTTGTCCATCAAGTGAGAGAACTGGTATTTACTCCTGCTGCCTCTCTCTGTTTACAGCCTCCATGCGTCTTTGCATGGGATCACGACGCGGGTTTATCTGTCGCATGAAGGTTGGCAATATTGCTGCTGACAACATGGCAGTAGGACACCTGAACCGTTTGAAGCAGCGAAACAGTTTGGGGCCTTCCCGTGATGGGCAGAACTATGCAGTAGTTCACTGCACAGGCTACATAAAAAATTGGCCTCCATCGGGTAAGTATTGGTTGCAGCATGGAGGACTGGAGACAGTTGATACAGGTGTCGACATATAGCTTTGTGTGGGTGTGCACCTGGCAGAAGGAACACGTGTCCCATGGAAGCAGCATGAATAAACTTGCTTCCACAATTTGACCTTATGACCTCTCTTGAAATTCCCAGTTTCAGAGTTCCTTTTTTAACAGACCGGTAACAGCTCTGTACCTCATTAAGCATCACACAATGACATGTCTTTGGGAGTGGATGTGTAGCTCCACATATTCTTCACTCGACACTAGATGGAGGTGAATGGGCAGGACCTTGATGCCCAGCTGCTTTACCCGGTACTCTTGCATAGGAGGCTGAGTCAGCCCTAGAGTGAGTCTGGACGCTGTGGAGAAGAGAAAGTTCTTTTGTCTGTGCTGGGAATTGAACCCTGATTCCATGGCCATTCATCCTGTAGCCTTGCTACAATGCCAAGTGAGCTATCCTGGCTCCAGAAGGTGAAAGGCTGTGTGTGGAATGCAGTACAGATTTTTCACTTACTGAAGGGTGGAGTCCAGCTGGGTCCATTCGTCACAGCGGCCACTGATTGGCCCATTGTATCTGCCCCAGTTGATTATGATGATGGAGAATTTGGTGGAATGAAGATTGGCAGGGGAAACTGAAGTACTTGGAGAAAACCCGCCACGCTGCCACTTCGTCCACCACAAATCCCACTTGACCAGACCCGGGATAAAAACCTGGGCCGCCGTGGTGGGAAGCCAGCGACTGACCGCTTGAACTATGGCGCGGCCTTATGCAGTACAGATAGTTGAGGACAGTAAGTCTGGTGTCCATTCAAGATGGCTCCACATGTCAGAAGCATTGTCCAGTAGTATAAATGGATGAGGGAAGTATCGCCCATAATTGTAATATTGTACTAAATGGTCAGATGTCGCACATGTGTATAGTTGAGAGCAGAAATAAGGAAATATTGAAGCAGATGGATGGTGTCTAAGTTCAAGGAAATGAGGAATTGGTTCCGTGAATACAGCCATAGTGTAGGTCTATTGTTTAACTTTCGTCACTTAGTGTTTCCAAAAGAGACTTGACTCGGTGAGGCCAACTGTTGGCAGGCGTGCAGATGGACCGAGGGGCAGATGATGATGGCCATGCTTCTCACTGCTGCCTTGTGGCTATTGGACGCCTGCAGGTGACGTCAACGCCCAATACCAGTGACCTGAGTGGTGCCAACAACAATGCGGAGTTCATCTCTCGTCACTCCATGGAGGGAAAGTTCACATTTGTGGACCAGCGTGTGATGGCCCTTCTAGGGTATACGCCACCTGAGCTGCTTGGGAAGTCCTGCTTTGACTTCTTCCACCCCGAAGATCAGACGCACATGAAGGAGAGCTTTGAACAGGGTGAGTATGATACCACTGGCATATCCTGTGCTGACACACTGCCAGTAGTGAACCCTCTTCACTGGCATCACAATGCAGTCTCAGTACCTGGTTCATGTCTTTGCCAGGGGTCATCTGAAACCCCCAGCTCAAAAGGCAAATGTCTCTGATTTCCTTTTTTCTTCCCACAGTCCTTCATTTTTTATTTTTTGCTAGCTGTTTCCTTCCTTCCTTTCTGCTGTCTTCCATTACCTGTCCAAACTCTCTTGTTCTGGGTCATGCCATAGATCCGTTTCCTTCAAATTTTAATTGGAATTTCCTATAGCAAGGCTCTCGTGAAAGTCCCCATTCCCTTGTTCAGTGGTGCACTGTCACAGCCAGTTCTTTGGCCATGGGATCACATTCCCTTGTTCAGTGGTGCACTGTCACAGCCAGTTCTTTGGCCATGGGATCACATTCCCTTGTTCAGTGGTGCACTGTCACAGCCAGTTCTTTGGCCATGGGATCACATTCCCTTGTTCAGTGGTGCACTGTCACGGCCAGTTCTTTGGCCACGGGATTCTTTACCAGAGATAGTCCCTGGACAGGTTGCATTTGAACAATCATTTCCCTCAAAAGACTTCCAGAAAAACAGACTATGTGTTATGCTTTGTGTACAGTTTGAGCAGTCTTCCTTTTGCAGTGAAATGCTAAGAAAATGAAACTTATATGTTTATATATAATGCTTTCATGACCACTAATGAACTTGCAGGTTTATAAGCATGGATAATTTCTTGACCGACTTCTCAGGAAAGTACTGCCCCATGCAGTTTGTTCCATTTGCTGCGATTGTGTCTGTAAAGTTGGCATTGCATATGTGTGTTGTTGATTGCAGTGCTCAAGCTCAAGGGGCAAGTGATGTCCGTTATGTACCGGTTCCGTGCCAAGAGCCGCGACTGGGTGTGGCTGCGCACATCTGCATTTGCGTTCCTGAACCCATACACAGATGATGTGGAATACATTGTGTGCACCAACACCAGTGCCAAGTGAGTCCGTTGGTGCCTGAACTCATGCTTTGAGCTTGGGAGCTGACAGTCACCTTATGTGATGAGACTAAATATGTCTCTTTCAGAATGCACTTTTGGCCCATAGTTCTGTCCTCTCTCACTGGATGATACAAGGGCAAGTGCACTGCTACATGCAGCTGGGCCGATAGGCAAGCCAGTGGCAGAGCTGCATAGCTGCAGTGGAACTCCCACTTAATGTACTGAGTACATTCAATGTCTGTGATTGCAAATCAGTAATCTCAGTGTTAAATGACCTTATAAAATTATCCCCACTTCAGTGTTGACATGTGCTGCTTCTCGCCAGAGAAACATGGAAAGGGGGTCTCACTGTGATATGTAACTTTTGGAAGTTGAAAGAAGCACTAAGAGCAGTTTAATGCATGCTGTGAGCCAGTGTGGTGTGGTATGGGTGGTAACGCACAGCAATACGAGTGCATGCTAACATCAGGTAGGTAGACACACATAACTGGAACTTTTGGGATAGAATGAGTTGTCAGAATCTATCAGAGTGATAGCAGGATATCTGTACAGGCATGTTGGCAGTACTGTATGCATCTGAATTGCCATCTCATCCAGTTTTGATGTAACTTTGAATTTCATGCTGTGTTGCAGGTCTCTTCACTCTCAGCAGACGGACGGTGGGGCGGGAACAGAGCCCACGGAACAGGTGGCTGCATACCAGCAACCCGGCCTTGACTACAGCTTGCAGCGAAGAGACACCACACCTGTGTACCCACACATGATAGCCTCCACGCAGCACATCCAAAGTGAGTATGTTGGCACTGTCGTGACTGTGTTGCAGGAGGTAGGGGCACCTCTCCTGCCTCGGTGGGTAGGACGTACAGCACAGCATGAGAGCCGAGAGCAACGAGAGATGAGATGGTGAGTGAAGCTGGCTGGGCTGGAACCTGGAATGTCTGACACAGACATCCAGCATCTCGCTTTCAGATCACCACACCTACTTTCTTACTGAATTGTTTTAGAATCTTTGCAGCTGATATGTACATGGATGAGCAAAATAAAGATTTTGCAGAGAAAGTGGAATTGGATATTCTCCTCATGAGTAGATTAGGGACAACTGTGAGTAAATGTGGTACCCCAGAGTAATTTGTTGATTGCTGTCTTCCAGGTTCCCAGCAGCAACAGCAGCAACAGACGGCAACTGCCCGTCCAGGTTCCGCAAACGTGTACAGTAGCTATGACCCAACACATTCACCGATCAGCTACAGTTCCCCTACCGCACAGCAGACTGGCTCAGGTTCTGTGTTGGGACGCATCAGTAAGGCCAACACAACCAGCCCCACGCCTGCTCAGGCAGCCTGGAGTCTGAGACAGGTGAGTCAGTTTTACTCTGTCCGCACCCTTCCCATTTCCAGCCTCGTTGTTGCCGTGTGCAGGGTCTTCCAGTAGACATTCTGAAGGTAAAGGGGAACACGCTGGCATCTGTCATCACTGCCAAGATACAAATACAGAAATACTGCACCATGCACTGCCTGAACTTGAGGCGCACGTTTTACAGTTTATTGAAGCAAGTGTCGCCTAACTTTGAACAAGGCCAAGAGTAACCTTGAATGCGCAGAAGAAAAATTTCAGACAAGGGTGGGTTTGAGGGTGTGAGAAGTGACAGGCGGCCTGTCAACTCTTGGCCTTGTTCGAAGTTACGTGACAATTGCTTTAGAAGTATTAAAAAATAAGATCCTGTAAACAGTAGTTAATTTCATTGGTGGGGACCATCAGAAAGAGCTGGTCTCGATCACATCTGCATTGATGTGTGCTCAATAAATATGGAAATTCAGACCACATAACTAACTCTTACGTTACATTGTGGAGATCGTTCCTGAATACCTGCGGATGCCATTTCCATTTTCGCTGTGATGTACGTTGCAGAGTGTCGCCACGCTTGATACAGTGTTTTCTGAATTCTACATTTGGCATACACAGACAGTAAAGTGGCATGTTCCTTATAGATGGTAGTGTGTCTACAGCAAGACTGAACACATTCGGAAAGTTGATTTTACGATTATCATCTGCATGCACTGTTAGGGACATAGGCACTTTCTTTTCTTTTAATGATAAGTTTCTGTTGCAGCCTGTGACAGAAGGGTACCAATACAGCCAGCTGAGCCCGTCACGGTCACCCAGTGGGCCCACATACACCCAGTTGAGTGCTGGTGCCCGGGGAGGGGCGTACCATACCCCAACCACCGCCCCTGGCAACACAGGTTAGTGGCAGCAACAGGGATCAGGACTTGGGTAGTTTCCTCGTCAGCAGCTCATACTGTTACAGATAAGATTTGTGTGTTCTCATGTCACTGTCTGTGTTAATGTGACACTGTTTAATGAAGGAAATTGATGCCAGCATTTTCAGGGTGCGAGTCACCCTTCTGCCATGAAGATGACAGTAATGATCTGTCAGATCCCAGAATATAGTAAGTAGTCTTCTGTGCTGCAGTTGTCTGTCATTTGAATGAGAAGTTCCTGAAGTTGGACATGTTGCAGGGATGTGGGCGTGGCAGGGATCTGGTCAGCCGTCGGACTCTGGCCCAGGTTCTAGCGGGTCGGCGGGACATGCCGGAGGCTCTGGAGGCACGGTCACTGCAGGTGGGGGAGCATCGGGGCAGGGGTCCGGGGGTCCACCACAGCAGCAGGAATTGTCAGACATGCTGCAGATGTTGGATCAAGGAGGGGCCACGTCATTTGAAGACTTGAACATGTTCAACACGAGCTTTGAGTAGCAGAGACTGTACACATTCAACGTGAGCTTCGAGTAGCGTGGACTGAACGTGTGTTGTGGACCGAGAATCTGATTACTTCACCCCACCTGTAGCATGAGACATCTGTTGGCATTGGCTCCACATGCATCTGCTGCGTAGGGTTGTCACGTGTTCCAGTGTGGTTACATGCTTCATGCAGGAAGTGTAAATGACTCCTTATGGCTGTTACATAAGTGGAATATTCAGGTAAAGCTAATAAAGTTGTCCCTGTGCTTAAGTAATTAAATGCCGCACCATGAAAACACATGGAAGACTGCATTCCTTCTTAGACTGAGGACTGGATGCTGCAGCCACTTTGTACCCCTTGATTAAGAAGCTGGGTGCATCTCGGAGCCAGTCTGGACACAGCAACAAAGAGAAATGTATTTGCAAATGTTTGGATGGATAACCTTTAGGGTTTCACTGAGCACCATTTTTTGGTGTGTCATTGCCGTTCTGCTGATTCATCTGCAGACATTTAGACTAGTGTGGATCGATTTTCTTGAATTTCAGCCTGACTTTTGAGACTTCATTATTTTGATATATCATGACACCCACAATTCTTTATTTGTTCCAAGATACAAGCATCAGAGTAGAATTTTGCACAAGGAACTGAATAGAAAACATCCCAGACCCAAACCCACCAACAGAGATAGATGTAACAAAAGTGGCATTTACCAACTGCAATGTTTGTAGATTGTCCAGTAAAATACACTGAACAAATTGGCCAAACCTTCAGTGCTGAATTTAAACCACAGGTCAGAGCAGTGTTGCAGTTCAGAATATTTTTACCCAGTATTAGGTACATGACGAACGTACATATGGCAGATAACTGGTAACCATGGGTTTTATAAAAGGAGAAAGCAAAGGAAAGTGCTTAAGTAGTTTAGAAAAGCATTACACCTACTTAATCACCAAAAATGGGGCTTTTGGTTATACCTATCCATGTAAATAAGAACGTACTTACCCAATGCAGACAAATGGCCAACTGGAATGTGCCCATTTCAGACAGTTACAAAATCCCCATCTTTATAAAAGTAACTTCCCAAAATTAGCAGTGAAACAATTTGGGTACTTCATTAATCTGCAGGTTGTGCCAAAACAGTGAACAGTACTTTGGTACTGTGAGTTTCAGCACCACCTCTCTTCTCTTTTAAGAGTTTTTAATGATCTAAGAATTCCTAACTTCTTACACGTAGAGGAAAGCGGACGTTCGGTTTCATTATTTCATCTGCATCAGTGCATTGGCTTCAGTTGTAGAGCGATTTTCCGACTTCAATTTTTATCCTGTAACCATCAGTTTGAGAGCATTTCAGGGTGTTACAGATGGAGTAACGGATCTAATATTCGATATCAATGAACCTACTGCAAAACAGGTGTTATGCTTACAGTTTATGTATAGACCTTCCACCTGACTTCAGTTCAGTAGAACCAGGATGTTGAGGCAGAGGCTGCTGCATGTGAAGGTTACAACCTGGTATTCCAAACACTACCACCAGATAGTAGCATTCCTACCCAAGCATCACTCATAGAACATACAGATTGTGTCTGACACTTCTTTTAGGGTAGGCAGCCTCTTTAGAAGTAAGGTCCTGTGTGTATACCAGTCCTAGAGATCATGGTATATAGATTGCATGATTTAATACCAACTGTCACGAAGTCATTAACTTTGTGAAGCTGATGATGGTGACACACCCTCAGAGATGTTTTGGACATCTCAGAACCCTATGGGCTTTCACAGCCTGTTACAAGGATAGCTTTACCTTTTCACCTTTTTTTTTTTTTTTTAAATGCTAGTGGGGGGGGGCTAAGTCCCTTGCACTGCGGCCACTTGTGGCCTATTGTACCAGCCCCAGATGATAGGTGAGGGTGATTTTGGAGCAGTTAGTGGAATGAAGATTGGCAGGGGAAACCGAAGTACTCGGAGTAAACCTGCCCCAGTGCCACTTTATCCACCACAAATCCCACTTGACCAGACCCGGGATCGAACCCAGGCTGCCACGGTGGGAAGCCAGAGACTGACTGCTTGAGCTATGGCGCGGCCTACCCTTTCACCTTTCTTAACATATCAGGATGAAGTTTTTCCTGCTCTCCTCAGTCCGTAGAAGCAGAATGTTGCGATAATACTGTGAATTAGGTCATGACCTTTACCCTGCACATCCCTACCAATTCACTTATCATTCAGTGCTGCGTAGTGTGGGAACTGCTGGCAGCATTGCAGGTGAAGCCTGAAGATGTGATAATGTGCTGCCTGGCCAGGGCTATTGGAGTAGCTGCTTGTGTAGCAGTCGTGGAGTGACAGTAGCAGGGAGGACCTTCTCCAGTGCCCCTGTATCCACCCTGAATCTCACGTCCAGCACCTAAGGTTTAAACATGAGATCCCATGGCGTGTCCTTCCACATCCGTTTCAATTTGTAATTCATTGATCACCATACCAGTTGATGCTAATCATGTGTGCCGCTTGTGTACGTAAAAGTACTGACCATGTTTCTCTCCTGACACCATTATTCAGCAGTCAGTATGTAAGTTTGTAACCTGTTTTATTCTGGGATATTTCTTAGAAATGCCATATATTGTAAAATTTTCTGTACATTTTTAAAGATGTTTTTGCAATTATGAATATTGGCAAAGACATATAAATGATCAGTGAAAGTGTGTTTTTATCTTTGGTGATTGATCAGAAATGGTCAGTATTTGATTTAAGAATGTTAATTAGCAGAAGTAATGAATGTGCTGAAGTAAATTGGAACCTTACAACAAGAATTTTGAAGCAAAAACAGGTAAATGCTTGTTCGTTGCCCGGTGCCTCCAGGTGCAGTCTCTCTTGATCATCCTGGCCTCTGTCTGGTGTGGGGGCACCCATGTGACCCCTCTTGGTAGGGTGACAATGAGGTGAATATCTGGATGTGGCAGCAGAAGAATCTGCTGGCAGATATCACCAGTTATCAAACGCTGAACCCTCCTCCGGATGTTACCGGGGGCCATATGGGTAGAGGATGATGTGCTCGAACTTGTGGAGTGCAGACGTGTGCAGAAGACAGTCTGTATTGAGAGCTCGTGTGTTGTGAGTGTGACTCGCTGAACAGGTGAACTACATTGGACTAGAAACTGACAACCCTGTGCAAATATAGCTATGAGAACGTTGGTCAGTGTTAAGTGATGAAGTCTACATATCCTGCATAAATGTTTTAATATTATAGTTACTGTAGTCTACACACATCTCTAAGCTAAACTCTCGCCTAGTGGCAGGGCTGTTGCAGCCTCGGCTGTGGCACTTACATCGCATTTGTTTAAAGTGGGAAGAACACATTGAATTCCATTTTTACAGAGCTCACCGCAACGTTCCTCTTATATTGCATTATAAATTCACTTCCTGGAAGCTGTGTGGAAATACTCCTTCAGTACTTTGTTTCATGAGGCAGATTCATTGCCTGATCAGGATGGTAACCTCTCAGTCTAGCGAATCGGTATGCTTTATATATACATAGCAGACTTTCCCACTTCCTATGATCCGTTAATGCTAAGTAGCATCTAACTTTTTGGCTGTCTTATCAGAGATTCTCTTCCATCCCTGCCAGTGAATGCACTGAAATGGGACCTGGGACCTAGTCTCTTCTTTCCATTTTTTATAGTTGGTACCACTGCAGTACTGTTAATTGTGTGTCAGGGTAATAAAAAGTAGTGTTCTGGGTTGTGACACTGTTCAGTCCAGAGACTGTCTGACGTTCCAGGGGTCTGCTTCTTGCTGTTTACTTGCTTGGCTTATCCCTTGACCCTGTGAAGATGTTGGTGATATATTTCTTCAAAACACAGGGCTGTCTTTATGCTCTACAGAGTTACAACTCTGGAGGCCAGACTCATCATAGTTTCTGACTGCAGAACCTCAAACCCAACAAGATAATAAAAACATTGAAATACATCATTGCATACAACTAATGAAATGCCCATAAAAAATTCAGTGGAAAAGTTTGGCAGTTTTCACCCCTTACTACGCCGCACCCCACTAGCCCTCCCATTGAAGCAATCTTCATGTACATTATAGCCGATAAATGATATGAACTCCGTCCCAAGTGCAAACAATATATTATATGTCCTTGATCTTGCTCTCCTTTACACTACATGTTTCGGCCTCAAACGGCCATCATCACCTGTATACACTCACGTTGCTGTCACACTGCACTTAGTTTAAATTTTAACATTTAAAAACACATAGTAAAGACGTAGTAAAGGGTAGCAGTGGCCCCACACAGGGAGACTACACAAAATAACACCTGTACAGTGCTGGAAACAAGAACTAGCCACTGCAGCACTATAGACATAGGGCAAGTAACCCTGACAATTTTAAATTTAAAATGTTAAAATTTAGAGAAAAATTTTAAAGGATTTTAAAATTAGAACTAAAGATTTTATAATTGCTAACGTGTGTAACAAAAACAATCTATAAACCAGACATATCAACGCAGTAGATGTTGATAATAACAAGGAAAGGAACAATGTGTTTTTAAATGTTAAATTTTAAACTAAGTGCAGTGTGACAGCGACATGAGTGTATACACCTGATGATGGCCGTTTGAGGCCGAAACATGTAGGGTAAAGGAGAGCAAGATCAAGGACATAATATTGTTTGCGCTTGGGACGGAGTTCATATCATTTATCATATAGAGTGCAACAGGATGCTTAAATATAATATTACATTATAGCCCTTGATGGCTGCTTTGAGATCACAGTTTCACTGAAAATGTGCACTATGACCTTGAACATCTGGAATGACAGCATGATAGAATGGTCTTCATTGTCCAGAGGCATCTTTTTATATAATTTAATTTTATGTTTAAGATTGCTGATGTACTACCAATTTAGACATGCGGGTTGCTGTCATAATTTGTGCCCCTCATAATTTTCAGTTGGATTAATTTTGCATGTATGTGGAAGGGATAAACCAGCAAAATTAATAAATAGCTTTGCAGCATGTAGATTCAGTATATATATATGTGTTTCAGTATAATTAAGATTAACTTCACCTGTCATGTTTTGGCAGTTTACATTATATTTGCCTTCTACAGGGGTGCATCTCATTTTAATTATATTGAAAATTTATGTAATGCCCTGGTTTGGTGTTCTTCTTACCACACTACATGCTTGCATGTCATCCCCTGTGGGAGCCCCTGAGAGTTTTCTGGCTTCTGAAGGTTCCTCTTCTGTGCCGACATTGAAATTTGGGTGCAAGTGAAGTGTGGACTGCCCAAGGGGGTGGGTGTAGTTTAGATTGGAAGGTAACAGTGCCTGCTTGCGTGTATCATGTTTAGCAGAAAGTTGGGCACGATGGGGCATGTGACCTGGCCGAGCCTGCCACCTGCCACACAACTTCTGCTTTCCATAGCAAACACATTCCTTTCAGTGACATGACGTATAACATTCTTGGTGGCACCAGCCGGGCTACCGTCTTAACAATAAATTATTTTTGTGACTTGCTACAGTTGCATTGCCTGTATTTATACCACACAGTTTTGTTGTGAGGATGGACTGGTAAAGGCTTCTTTGTTTTGTGATGCGTAGTGATCTGACCTTTCCATGAAATGTTGATAATTTGTACAGTAACATTAATTTTTTTTATGAAGAGATGAATTTGTAGTGTTGAGGTTTTATTTTGTACACTTAGTGGAGCAATTCCAGGGACAAAATAAAGGACCAGAAAGTGTACCCTTGACATTCTGCCTCCAGGATCCTCTCTTGTTCACAGATTTCCCAACTTCCTACCTGCACCTTGCTTCTTGTGATACTGATGTTGGACAGCGCTGTCTGCCAGACTGGAGAGTTGCTTGTATCCAGGGCTCCAGAAAGAGATTGCCCTCCCATCATCAGCAGGTGCATCCTTAGCTTCAGTCTAAATGCGTTAAACATACACGAAGCAGATAACAGTGCGACAAACAGTTTGTTGCCACTATTGAAGAATGCAGTCTTCTGGGGTGTGGCGCCATGTGGATGTTGTGTGAACCGAAGGTAGGAGGAATGTATCGCCTCCAACTGCAGGGTAGCAAAATCTGCTCAGTCTGCTAGCCACCTGCTCATGCTGGTTCCTCACTTGCGGTTTGCACAAGATCTACATGGTGCCGCATCCCAGAAGATGGCATTCTTCATAGTCACTGTTGTGACTCAATTTTGTTCTCTTTGCCTTCTTCCTCTCTCCAGTTTCTGTGCTACCCTGAGTCCTCGTTCATGCAGCAGTGATTCTCATTTGGGTCGGCCCATGGGTCTCATTCCTTCAAATTTCAGTCTTAGTATACTTGTTCCATAAGTTGTTAACGAATTTCAAATTCCAGATTCTTCTATAAGAATTCAGTTTATAATTCTATCCCTTCTTTTTTTTTCCATAAAAACCTTAAAAAATTATGTATTTGTTCCTTGGATTTTGCTGTTTTTTCCGTTTGTAAGGACCCATGTTTTGTGATTATATGTTTGCATTACGGATTGTTGTTTTGCACTGTTTTGGGATATCTTTGTTGAGTAATATTGTTTTTATAATTTGATAACATTTAGGAATATCATTATTGTGTTCTTATATCTTGTGATTTTCCCTTGTGAGCTCATTTCACTTTTCAAAATGAGTTTATTTTTGTTTTGTACTGTTATTTAGTTTTTAATTCTCTCTATATACTGTGCTGTTGCTATGGTATCTGTGGTAGCGCTGGCAGACGTCAAGACATACCCATGCTGAAGTTTGCTCTTCTCTTATTACAAATGTCAGCTTCAGTCGATGTGACAGTGCCCACCTTTGCCAAAATTAAATCCCTTTAGATAGCCTGTTGTTATTCTATCAAATTTGGTATCTGAATTTTAGTGTACCTGTCTTCGGAACATTTCAAGTTAAGGTTAGCTGGTTTGGTTATGTCAGTTTGTGTGACAGTCTCCAATTGAAATTTCAACATGTCTGAATCTTGGAAGTACGTACCTGTATGTTTATTAAAATTCAAACAATTTGATTTGTGTATAGTGGACGTTGCCTTTTTTCCTATGTAGTCTTCAGGATTTAATTTAATTTGTGGATCCAGTGTGACCAAATTGTAAGCAGTGGCTTGATCCAATGTGACTGAGCTTTTTGTTGCTAATGCGAGGCGCATATTCTAGCCGAGGCTGGGAAAGCCCCTAAATATAACTGAAAGTCACAGATCTTGTTGGAGATAGAGTTAGGAGCCAGCTTACTGAAGATAGTGGCATGCCCCTTTTAATTTTTGGCTAATAATCCTAGCTGTAAGAAACAGTTTTAAGAAATGTTCATAGTGTGCAGCTGTGTCTTCTGTGTGGTCCTGTGGAAGTTAACCGACGTTACGGAGGAAGATGTCCGTACACAATACGAGAAACTAGTGTTTCACTATGCTTCGTGCTCCTTTCTTTCTCGCCTTAGCCTTTGACTCAGAAGATGGAAGTGACACATTCTTCCAAAACGTCTGTTAACTTCCAGGGGACTACCCCAGAACTTCACAGCTGCCGTCATGAGGACCTCAGATCCCACATTCAAATGTGGTATGAACCATATACAAGTACAGTGTGTAGTTATGTATATTCAAATAATATGAATTGCTTTAGATACAATTATTTAAGAATAAAGTGTTTTGGCAAGCTGGCTGGTCTGGGCCCATGGTGGGGATTTATATCGCATTTTCCTTGGCTATGATGCCGTATGGTCTGGTAGGTGATTACACTGTCTTCATCATGAGGTGAACCGCGTACCAGGCTGCACAGTGTCAGACAGTAGAGATTCTGGGGGTGGCGTTCTCATGGCGAGGAATGTTAAGTCATACCGTGTGTCCCTGTTAGAGGGAACCAACTCCCTGCTCCAAGCCGATGCTCTTAGGGCGCATTTTGCCCCCTGTTCTGTTTCCTCAGGCCCTTGCGACTATCTCGGTCTGAGTATGGCCGATTCCTTTCCAGTTCATGTGACGCCGTACAGCGTGTCACGCCCCACATTCATCGCCAGGAGAACGGCAGGCGCATGCGCTGAATAAAGAGGAGGTTGCTGGAACGTCGGGCCGACAATTCAATAGTACAATAGATACTTTATTTGGAAAAATGTAGTAACACACGTCTACACCAGGGCTGCATTGTCTAGATCACTGACAGACAGTAAGTGTATGGTGTACACAGACCCCGTGCTTTCTACCCCTAAATTAAAACGCTGGCCGCGTCCGAGTGTGCTGCGTGAGTGCTACACAAACACGTAGGACAACACTTGGAATATAAAATACCCGTTAGTTAAGTTTATTGGAATACAAGACGCTGCTGCCATCTGGAGACAGTATGGGGCGGCCTCGCACGAGGTTTCCAAGCAGGTGTCTGTCTACTTTGGCACGATAATGGCACCTGGTGTGGCCGACAAGGCGTGCAGGTGGGGCCCAATTGAGTGAGCACAGCGGTTCTCAAGGAAATAAATCCCAGAACCTTCTTCTCGGGAGCCACTGTTTGGATTTTGCTTTTGTTTCTGTAAGGGTTCACCGCTGTCCACATTAGCAAGGAGCGCTGATGGTTGGGGGGCAGGGGGCAGAAAACGTGCCTACAAGCTTAGGACTATTTTTACAAATCGCTATACAGTTGTCATGATAAAAGAAAAATTTGTTTTAATATTTGATATATTTCCGTAACTTCTCTAAAGCCGGAAGGTCGCAGGTTAGATTCCAGATGAGGCCACTGCAATTTTCAATTGACCTAACCCAGCCGCAATATGACCCTGGGGTCGACTCAGACTCTATGAGTACCAGGAATCTTCCTGGGAGTAAAGGGCGGCCTGCGCGTAAGGCTGACAACCTCACTGCCATCTGTGGGCCGATTGTCTAGAAAATGTGGGAGCCTCGACGTCTCAGAACCATATGTTCCTCCACGGCCTGTTGCAGGGATACCTTCACTTTTTTATCTTCAAAACTACAAAGAGTGAAGATGCCGGCGCCCAAGGCTCACCTCGTGCCCCTAGGAGTGAGAGTGAGTCGTGTCAGTTGAAACGTGTTTCTGCGGGCCCAAAGAGAACGAGGAAGTCTGAAAGCGCATTTATGCGACCCTTCAGGGGCTTCATACAGCGAGCGCGGCATTCAGCTTTTAATTGCGTCTTCTGTAATTCTGTTAGTCCCTGTTCATTTGGAGTTAATCACGCACACAGCATAAAGTGCGAAATACGTTCCCGAAAATTAAGGGAACACTCTGTAATTCTCTGCAGCGTACATTCTATATAATGCTAATTTATATAATGACATTTCCTTAACTAAAATATAATATTAAACATTATTAACAAAAATATATATACGATTTGTTCCAGTTGAACTGAATAAGGATGCAAATTGTATCTGTTAAACTTATTTGCATTTTGATCTGAGGGCTAGACCGGCCGGCTGGCCAGGCAGCAACACTGTAGACTTGTATTCGGCAGGTGATAGGTTCGAATCTCATTGAGGATAGCGCCTGAGGTTCTTAATGGCTTTTCCCAGTCCGTCCAGACAAATGCCAGCACAGTGCCTCGACAGCTCTATGATCTCTTCCTCATGAGCATCCCGCGCGACATTGGCGGGCCTGCTGCAGTAACCACTAACACGGACTTACTCGTGTTTCCAGGAAAAGTGAACCGCTGGCAATAACATGGTACGGGGTGAGGCGTTAGGGAAGATTTACTGCACCGCAACCAAATGACCACACCCTGTAGCTTGTCTCCATACAAGTCGTGCCGTCTCTGAGTATCATTACATGTAATCACAAAATAACATTTTCTCTCCTCTATGAAAATATAGGAACTGCCCCGCTCTGTGGCGTGTCTCCTTCCGATGGCCACCAGTGAGCACACTCGGACATGGCCCTATCACATCGAGAATTTGGTGTTTGGTTTATTGTGAGAGCTCACACACTGCTGCAAGGAGTTGGACGCAGAGAGTAGCGCCGTCTGCCCGTCATCACCGCGTATACTCGGTGCGTCAGCCCTCGGTTCCCATGAGGAAACGTCATATTAGAGTTCTTCCAGAGAGACTGAAATATCCGCTTTAAAACTGTAGGAGAAGGAGACGGCCGGGCACCCACTACTCTCACTGAGGATTTCGGTGTTTTCTCCAGTTCCTCCAAGTAAGTACCGACATAGTACGTCGACTAAGCCACTATTCATTATTAACTGAGAGTCCCACCGTCTGACGATAGTCAGCATCATAAAATGCAGTAAAGACATTTCAATGTATTCAGCGTTTTTTGGAAATATTTCATCAGATTCTTTGAAACGTGTCAGTGTAAACGTGCGAAGTGCCTATGTACAGAAGGACGCGCGTGGCGTTGAAAGTTCCAGAATATCACACGACTTTGACGGGACTGCATTAGCTGTTGCTTGTGGAACCAGGTCTCGCTGTGAGCCCTCCGGATACAGGGCTGCACTGATATGAGATGCAGGCGGGTGGATTTCTTCACGTCCCGTCGCTTGACCACAGGATTAAGAGCCCCCATATCCACTGGATAGTGGGGGATCCTAGGGAAACGAACCCTGATTCCTCAGAGCCTGTCTGGAGACTGTAGAGAAGAGAGAATTCGCTATCTCTGCTAGGAATCGAACCACGTTTCTCTGGAAATTCATCCCATAGGCTAGTCACTTTCCTCCCTGAGCTATCCCGTGTCCCTTACAAATAATTTTAGAAAACTTGAAGTATTTCTGTACCTAATTAGGGGACGTTAAAGTTAGACTCCATATATTATTGAGCTGCAGATGAACTATCCTCTGTGAATTTCTTTCTTAGCTCAATTTAAGTTAACTGCCGTTATCTTTTATTTTATTTTATTTTATTTTTTGCTTTGTTTTTATTTCTGCGGTTTTTGTTTTCCCTTGAACCGAAATATCTTACATATTTTCCAATACATTCGAGACGTCAGGGAGGCCGTGCCCGCCACAAACGGCGCTACTCTCGGATTCTGGGGGGAAAATGTTTCGATTGGTAGCACTGGGTGGCGTCTCAAGGTGCAGCAGCATTTGAGGAACACTAGCACACCCGCCATTACATCGTTAGCAGCAATAAGATGGTGGGCGGCGTGCTGGTGTGAGAGTACATAGTGCCCTAGTGTCTAACAAACAAAACAAACAAACAACACTGTCTTATTGCTTTGTATTCAATCTGCATAGTAAGAAGACTTTGTTTGCCGCGCCAATATGAGTCTTATATAGCCCGCACATAAGACACAGAGTCGCTAGGAATAGTAATAATAATAATTATAATAATAATAATAGCGAGAGTCTGTGATTGGTGTTCATAGAAGTGTCACGTCTGAAGTCCGAACGGGGGCCAAAACGTTCGTCTCGACACTTGAACTTTGCCCTTAAACCACAAAAATCTATACGCTCTGCCGCCATTTTGATTCTCTTTTGTTGCTCAAAGAAATAGATCATTTGGAACTGACAAGACATGGCCTCCCTCAAACACATCACAGCAGCTCAGATTTCGAATTTCGGAGCACGGGTTTCGAATCAGTGGGGCGAGATCAAAATTTCGGGACCCGATCTGTTACTTCTGTATAAAATTGTTTTAGTTTGTTTAACTCAGGAACAGATGCCACGATATTGCATTAGTGAAAAGAAAACTGTCCGGCGATATTAGTGTGTCATGTGTCCAGCCTGTGGACAAGACGCCACTCCTTGGATGCCCAAGAACACAGAACCTGTGATTCACTGCGATCACGTGACACACTGACCCAGCTTTTAATTCTTACGCGACCAACAAAATGAGCTGCGCTGTTGACTCGAAACACAGATCGATGACGTTGCCATCTTCTGTTTACACCAATGTTCAATGTTGGCGGAATGCGAACCCACGCCTTTTTCTGCCTAGGCTCCACGGTCCCCCACCAGATGTCTGTCTAAACTAATTTAATCAATTCTGCCAAACTTGTCTATTCTCGGTTTGGGTCCACAAATGGTGGACGCGAGGGCAGTTATGACCCGAAGAATTTCAGTTGCAGAGGTAAATGAACTCGCGATTCTAGCCCGACCTGGTGCCAACAAGTTACCCACACTTTGCAGGCCCATAGGTTGGAAACCCGTGTCTGAGAGGAGAGGCGAGGCGAAATAGCGCGGACCCGCAACAGCATGACTTCGAGTCTACTCGGAGACGATGAATGTTTAAGTGGAACCGTTCCAACTCCCCATCGCGGCCTTTGCACTACCAAATTTCTGTAAGGCGTTCCTAGCGCTACACTGACGTGGCGTGTCTTACGGAAACAATTATGAATAGTGTGGTTGTGTGGAAACAGCTCCATTTAAACGAATTGTTCCTAGGACGGGCCACAGACTCTCGTGTGAAAGTAGCCTAGGAACTCCCAGCTTCAAAAGTAACCGAGATGAAGCATGCGCAGTGCAACAGGCGGAATGGCTCACGTAATGGATCTAGTGGCCTCAGGCATTAGGCTGATGAAAACAGAATGCTCGCGAGGAGTGTGTGTCTGTGTGTGCGTGTGGACCCCTTTTGTAAGAGAGCGCAAGAGGCGGCATGGAAAGGAACCCGTCGAAAGCACGCAGTATTTTACAAATTAAAGTTCGTGTTCTGATACCAGGCGTGTGGCCTTGCGCCGTTCACGAAGGATAAGCAATCGATCATTGTTTGCGGCGTTATAACGACTTCTACTAGCAGAAATGTAACACGTCACAGACTGCTGCTCGTTATAACGAATTTCTCAATCTAATACCGCCTCGCCTTAAATTCGTTGGGGTGACAAGTATAGAGGGAAGTGCTGCGGTAGGAAGGCGATTGTAATGATAAGCATTGTAACGGTTCCCTCTTATCTGACGTCTGGGGGAAGTGGTTCCTCACTCATCACAGATAGTTGGGGCGACAGATGCAACAGAAGCTGCCCATGTTCTTGTAGAATGACGCGCTGCGATTCTTTGTCCACTGGTGCCCTCCTGTGTCCTCGCCAATTAGGGCCTGGTTCCTCTCTGCAAGCACAAACACAGGCATTCGAAGGGCTTAGCATCTCTGTAATCACACAGCGTGCAGCGGAAATGGGTAGAACAGAATTTTATATGCGCTAAACAATCCCGGAAATATGACAACTAATCTGATACTACATACTCGTATGTCGATATGTGAACTGGGGGAGCCTATGATTTGCCATGTAAACCACAGTGGTGAGTGTAGAGACCAACTTATTTAACATTAACCCTTCAAAATTTTATATCAAGATTCAGTCCGTACCTCACAGTAAACACTACATCTCCGCTACAGAGCCCAACCGGTTACTGCTGTTTGGGGAAACAGTCGCTGTTTACTGTGAGAACCGTACGGAACACACAGATGCACTCTTTGGGCAGAATGCAGAGTTTTGTAATGTTAAAGCAAATGTTATATATAGTAACCACTGGGCTTTAAGGGATTAAGAAGGCTATGCAGTTTTCCCACACAATGAATTTATGTGTTATTTATATTTTCTCTGAACACCATTAAGCGGCTGGTGTTTATAGTGGGCACACTGTATTTTCTGTGCGGTAGGAACTGAATTTTAAAACATTATTTAAGAGGACAAAGCGCATGAGAAAGTTGCAAGTTGTACAAATGTAATAAAGCTAAAAACATAGGAAAGAATTTAATCAAAACCCAGATACAAATGGGTGAACAATGTTGGAGGGGCACAGACCCCACTTGGGGTTACAAGAGAATAGAAACATAAATTAGAAAATGGATTGATCCAAGAGAAAAGAGAGCAGAATTAGAATTAGTGGCAGTAGCAATTGTAGCAAAATTCATTCGAACTAAAGAAGGTAGTTAAATATGGGCACCACAAAAACTTGTTTTTTTCGTGGACGCAATTTTATGTATAGTAACAAAATACAGCCCAATAAAATTTCACTTTACTTTCACTTTACCTTACATCGAACCTACCTCCAAAGTTGACGTTAAAATTTAGTCTACCCAATGTTAAATGTAAATATTACTCTAATGCAGCCCTTCTAATGTCAATATCAAAATTCCGAACATGCGCAGTAAAGCTCGTACTCAAATTTTCTCCTCTGCTCATAATAAATCCAGGTTCTAACACTTCATCTTCTTTATTTCCTTAAACTTCAGCTTCTCTCGAACGTACATCTACCAGAAGGACAAGTTGGCACTGCCTGAGAACCTTCAAAGAACGAACAACTTTGTCTCCCTTCCCGTTTTTGTTCTCAGCTTAAAACATGAGGGACTGAAAACAAATTAACGCTGGAAAGAGACAAAAAATGCAAACAAATAAGCCGAGTTAAAAGCAGACAGAACTTGAACACTTCGGACTGCCAGCTCAGGCCATGTGATGTGATGTGATGTGAAGGAACGTAACTCCTGTCTTCTGACTGGCAAAACAAGAGTCTTGTTCAGAGTAGCCTCCGCCATGACAGTGACGAGAACAAGGAAGGGAAGCGAGATGCAGTAGAGATGAAGCTGAAGAAGAGGAAATAGTGTAAGGCTCCCACCTGTGTTGTTCTCCTGCTGCGGCATGAACTCCTGCATGTCCTGCACCATCCTGCGCACATCCTGCGAGTCCTTGGTGATGGAGCACAGTTCCTCCTGTCTGAAGTCCGGCGTAATCTGCTTGCACAGCAGGATTTGGCTGATCACGTTGCCGAGATTAGACGGGCCCGGTCGGTTCTCTGCAACATGCAACGCTGTTAGTAGCTCAGCCACCGGACAAATTCCCTCAAGTGGCGTCGTTTCTGGGGTCGTCGGTTTGAATCTCTTCCGGGATACCGATTATCCCCGGGGTAAAATAAAACGAGAAACAAATAAATAGTGCAGACTATATAGCCTAGATACTGTCACGGGAGGGACTGAGGAAACTCACTAGAAACATCTGCCAGGAGAGCCTGCCTTCCTCCCTCTGGGCTGAGGTGTGAGCCGTGGCCTGCCGAACAGGAAGCAGGGGAGTTACCCACGCGTCTGGAACTTGACACGCACCGCCAACTGTTTCTCTCCCCCCCCCAAACCCCCCCACAATTCTCCGGCAAACTGTGCAGCGAATGGGCACAGAGCTACCTCCAGTACGGCAGCAGCTGCCGCTTGGCTGACGAAAGTTCTGGGTTTAGGCCTCCGTCCACTGTGCCACGCTCTCTCTATATGAGCAAGCAGCTGTGCTGAGCGGGTCACAAAGTCGGTCCAGGCACTGTGGAGAAGACAGAAATCTATTTCTCCTGCCGAAAATCGAACCTTGATTCTTTGGTCGACTGGCCGTAGCCTAATCTCTATACCGACTAAGCTAAGTATAGGCCGCTCCATAGCTAAAGCGATTAGTCGCTGGCTTTCCACCGGGGCTGCCCGGGTTCGATCCCGGGTCTGGTCAAGTGGGATTTGTGGTGGACAAAGTGGCGCTGGGGCAGGTTTTCTCCGAGTACTTCGGTTTCCCCTGCCAATCTTCATTCCACCAATTGCTCCACAATCACCCTCACCTATCATCTGGGGCTGGTACAATAGGCCAGAAGTGGCCGCAGTACAAGGGACTTAGTCCCACCCCTCTAGCATAAGAAAGAGCTAAGTATAATTCCGGTATTTGTCTGGAGGGACCGATTAAGACCACGGAAGCCCTGAGTCAGGGTAGCCAGTCTGTGGGCCGAGATTTGAACTCGGGACTTCCTGAATACGAAGCAGAAATGCTTCCTACTCCGTTGCTATTTCGCCCAGAGGCCATGTTCATATTGTCACGTGTATATCTGACTTATGGACGGGGGTTTGGGTTGGATGATTGGATTTATTGCAACTTACACATTCAGAGACAATTGCAGCGCCACTGCTTCCTTCATTCGCCGACAGATGGAGAATGCAGATTGCACTCCACCTACATAAAGCTAATTTGTTTTCTGCCGTTGTAAATTTTTGCTGTTATTAACTTTTAAATTAATTCCATTTCAGTCTCAACAGACAATTCCTCTGTATGTAGTAGCTAACTCAATTCGCGACGTGTGCTCGTGTGGCAGAACCGCTGGGGAGAAGGGCCGGGAGATAAGCCGCGAAACCAGAAGTAAAGTGTACACAGACGGACGGACCGCCACATTCAGTCGTGGCAAGTGAACCGGTTGGGTGACTCGCGGGTGCCCCTCTGTTGCGACGTCCTTCCTAGAGCGCGGGTCTCTTTCGGGACGGTCGCAACGAACAGCTGCTCCTAACGCCCCTGCAACCGCCGGAAACGCCAGTGAAATTTGTTTTCAGTCAGACAAGCATCTGGGACGTGTGTGCGTGATGTCCAGTGGGACTCGCTGTCGGAGCGAAAGGGTTGCATAGAAACGCGAATTTATGCCCAGTGCGCTTATTGCACGTTTTGCGGGGTAATCACACAGAAGGGAGGGATTGCGGCAAAGCTGACCCAGTAGCAGGCCGTGGAGGCCCATACAGTTCTGAGTCATCGAGGTTCCCACATTTGCTAGACAATCGGCTCACAGATGGCGGTGAGGTTGTCAGCCTTACGCGCCGGCCGGTCTTTACCCCCAGGAAGATCCCTGGTGCTCATTTCTGTCAGAGGCTGAGTGGACCCCAGGAAATAGTGCGGCTGGAAGGATTAGGTCAATTGAAAAATCCAGTGACCTCATCGGGAATCGACCCTGTGTCCTTCCTGTTTTTAGCACAGTACCTCACCCAATACGCTACCGCGTGCCTCTGCGGCATGCGTACACTTCCTAACTTGTTCTGCCTAAAACGTGAACAAGCATGTGGCCCGCTAGCGGAGGAACAGACCGTTGCTTATTTAACGATGCTGTCAGTAGTTACGTGGCGTTCAATGTTAGGATGGCTAGTGAACAGTAGATCGGGAAGGAATCGGTGGTGGTCTTATTCGAGGTACTATCGCAGCACGTGTACCGCCTGCTCCACTCTGGACGGCAGTCAGGCCCCACAGCCCGACCGCGCCATGACGCCGAGCGTCGGTCTTACGTCTCTTCGCATCCTAACACGTGACGCCGTATACTTTTGTACATGGGCTCCAGTTTTTTCAGAGGAAGCTGCTCTCTTCGGCTTCACAGTATAATATTTGCACCCTGAAGAAGGAGGCAGCAGGCTCTTCCGAAGCTGATGTTAATCTCTACCAAACTACACGACGTGACGTCCCTAGAAAGCTTGATACTCGCCACGAGAAACTCGGAATTCACACATGAATGTTGCTTGGTGCAAAGTTTCAACATTACCAAACCGGAAGCTATTTCTCCTGGCCGCCATGTTTTCTTACATTGCACAAAAGTCACCTCTGCGCACAGTCGCCATGACAAGGAAATAGGACCTACAAAGAGTATTGCCTTCTGAGTTGTAAAGCAGTTTAGCTCGGAGGGAAACCGACGTTTCGGGAAAACATACTGCCTCGCAAGCATAGCTTTCCGCCCACTTGTGCTGGTTTCTTACTCGGTTTACTCTTCTACCCTGAATTTGGAGCCGATATGTTCCTCCGAAACTTGAGGCTGTCTCCGAGCTACACGGCGTCACACAGTCTCCATGCCCACCGCTATGAGAGCCTCACAGCAAATGGCGTTTTATTCCAGTCTCTACAGCAGACGTCATTACGGGGGACACACGCAGCAGGTCCCATTTGGGGCCTCAGCGCCGTGAGAGGCCAGCATCGAGTTCATCCAAATCTGACGAGCGTTTAATTGTGGGGTTGGCAGTCCTGCCGCGTATCGATCGTCCTTTGTTTATTCTAACTCTCAATTTATTACGCCGCGTGCAGTGAGGTCAGTTCAACACCTGGACACGGCTTTCGTGCGGACTTCTTCAGGAGTTGACTGTGTAACTGCGCTACAAATTGATCGTCAGCGGGAATTGGAGAACAAGGCTAGTGGCAGCTAACTCCACGGACCACACACAGTCCTTCCTGGGAATCTAATAGTCCGCATTTTATGGAAGTGGCAGGCTCAAAACCCCCTTCACAATAGCTCGATGCTCTTCTTTATCCTGGGCCAGATTAAACCAGTACACATTCACCTATCATAATTCCTTGAAGATTCGTCTTAATATTATCCCCGACATATATTTAGTACTTGGAAGATGACTATTTCAGATTTTTAGACCAAAAGCTTGTATGCGTTTCTGTTCCGTCCCATGCACGCTATCTTCCCCGCCTATCTCATTGTAATAATATCCGATGAGCTAGCTATGGTCTGTCTGAAGCATGCCTGAGGACACGTCATCGTCAGAATCAACATCATTTGCAGATATAAGCGCACGGCAGGTGTTGCCATCTCGTGGCATCACATGCCCTCAGGCATGCTTCGGCCGGCCTCTGTGCCGTGTCGGCAATACAGCTTGTGCCTGCAGTCGTCGTCTTACCGTAGTATCCGGTCATGTCCATCGGGATGACCTGCACCAGGCGGTAGCACTTGGCGAGCTCCCTCAGGAACAGTTGCGCGATGAAGAAGAGGAGGACGAAGTGCTGGTTGTCTGCCGGGATGCCCTCCGCCACGGCGCTGCAACAACTCGAAAAGTGAGTCGCAAGCCAGCCAGAGCCGCGGCCGGCAGAAGAGTCGCCTGTCTCTTCAGACAAAACTCAACAGTTTCTGCAAACCTGCATCATTACGTTCAGAAACAAGTACAGCTTCTGAGTAAATGTACTGTCTTTTTGTAGTTTATAAATAAAGCCTCTGCAATAATATTTTGTTATTTATTTTCATCAGCACTGCGTATTTCATTAAATTCACCATTTATTTGTGTTCTAAGTTTTTTTTTTCTTTTAGGGCTACATTTTGCTTCACTAATCCGGGTGGGCGAGGAGTGTTGTAGTATACCGGAATTTGGCCTCAGGGACCACGAATATCCTGAGGGCTGTCGGTCTGCGGGCAGAGGTTCTAACCCGCGACATCCTGAATACGAAGCAGTACTACTACCGACTCGATCTGAGAGCAGTGATCGGCTGTGACAGGTGGCACCTGCCGTCCGTACCTATGCAACGCGTTGTAAGTCGAGTTCATTATAACGTGGGATGTATAGGGTTACGTTCTCGCAGCTGTGCCGAAACTGCGCCATAAAATCAGCAAAGGGACATTCGAAAATAAGTAAGTTACTTCATGTTTCGTCAGGATCGTCAGGGGTTCGAGCACATAAAACTATCTTCTCTTCTTTTGTCTTCCTCAATAGATTAAGCTAAGCCTGTTCCGGCCTCACATTTCCAGCCGTCTTTTCCCGCTGCGGCGGACGGATTTGTACCCCCTTGGCTGCTGTTTCATTATTTGTTTTGGTAGTCCTTCTGTGTGCAGTATTCACTGCTCTCTATAGCCTGTTACTGTGTCCAGTATGGAGCCCGTTCCTGATTCCTTTCTGATGGCTCCATCTGTGAGATTATCTCGTCCCTACATCTTCTGTAAAGTACAAAGTAAAGCTATCCCTGCAACAGGCCGTGGAGGCCCATAGGGTTGTGAGACGTCGAGGTTCCCACATTTTCTAAACAATCGGCTCAAAGATGGCGGCAAGGTCAGCCCCACGCTCCGGCCGCCATTTACCCCCAGGAAGATTCCTGGTACTCATTTCTGTTAGAGGCTGAGTCAACCCCAGGGCCGTAGTACGGCTGGAAGGATTAATTGAAAAAATCCAATGACCGCATCGGGACTTGAACCCGCGACCTTCCGGCTTGTAGCATAGTGCCCGCGCTCTGCTGCCTGTCACTGTCCACTCCTCAGCGCTACGCAACAGTGTTCTGAGAAAGTACCGCAAGTGGCTTGAATCTTTTGCTGGTTTATATCCTGATCCGTTTGCAAACTCTATGCACAGTTACGCTGACTTTTATCGGGGCCCGCCGAGACCTCTGGGGTCTGGTGCTTCCTGAAGAAGCTGCCCAAGGTCCGAAATTCGAGTTTCGAGTGGTACGTTGAGGTGTGAGCTCCACTTGTATGGCCCAGATATTGTGGAGGGAACAGAAATTTGTAATTTGAGAGAAACGTTCTCCAGAGCCGTCGGACAAACAAGCAAATCTTGACAAAACTGAGGGTAGCGGAAGGGCGAGAGAATGCCCGCACTTGGCTGTGCGGCGGGGAGGCCTTTCCGGGAACATCGATCAAGGATTTGGTTTGCACCTCCGACACTAAATAATTAATTTGTGGTTTACTTAACGGCACCCTCACTGCTTCAGACCAGACAGCGCCGAAAGTGATGAATTGGAGAGGCTACGGAGGGAAGGGCATGTGGTCTGTTTGTAAGCACTGTCCCTGCAATCGAAGGGAGGGACTCAGGAAAACCACGAGGAAACTCAGTTAACTGAATGATAAAATTACTGAATTGCTTTAGTGGTGATACCTGTGCATATCCTGCACACGGCCCTGTGTTCAAGGTCACACATTTCTTGTCCCAAACAGGACTTCTACTGTTTATCTAACCTTGCCCTTAATATTAAAATACCCTACATGTTGCCCAGGTCAGGTCATGTGGTATTTGTGGTCGACAAACTGGCATTGCAGACGGAATTTCTCGGAGTGCTTCGGTTTACCCTGCCAATTCTCATTCGAGAAACTGGTCCACGTTTATTAATCACCCTTTCATCGACGCTGGCAGTGTCGAAAAGCAATCAGATCAACATACATATATCCTGTAACTCGGAGAATTCGATCCCAAAGATGGAGGTGATGTGGTCCTCTGAAACGTCGGTTGACTTTCAACGGACTATACGGCGCTACATCCCAGAACATAGAACCTATAAAACTGCATTGTTGTTTTTGAGGTTCTATGTTCTGGGATGTAACGCCGTATAGTTCTGAGAGAGCCGACGTTTCGGAGGAACATATCTCCATCTTCAGGGTCGGAGACTAAGCCATGCAAGAGATGGCGGTAGCCGCCTGCTTCTGTCAGTTTCATGTTTAGCTTATTCTTCAGCACTGAAAATGGAGGCAGTAGCTTTATCCGAAACGTTCGCAACTTCTACCGGACTGCACGGCGGTATGTTTGCCCTTGTATGAGAAAAGATTGCGGTATATATGTTGCCCGAGCTGTCAGCAGCTTCCCCATAGCCAGACGTCCAGCACTTTCTTTCGCTTGTAAGCAACTGATCACGTGATCGCCGAATGGCGCGGGAGTGCCTGCAGGTCTTCATGAGAAGTGATCCCTTTTGTTCCAGTTTAACCAGAACCGAACAGTACTGTGGAATTTGCTCAAAGCGAAAACCGTGCAGCCAGAAAAACCGCCATTGCTAGGTAACGTCTGTGTAACACGGAACACTGGAGTAACTGTTGGAAGCGGTGTTTGCTGTGCGAGGTTATGACGAGGACCAGCTGTCAGCACGGGATTGTAGAAGAGTAGGAAGAACGTCCACTTTTGGACGTGACTGAGAACACTAGTCTGTGTGATAGAAGTGTAGTCACGAGTTGTGTGTCCAATAAATTCGATCACCGATCCAAACCCCGTCTTTAGTCACACTTATCACGTGACAGTATTAATGCAATTTAGCAAGAGCGACCCTCATGTGTCTAGCCGTGTTGGAATTGTTACGTGCGGACAGACTGGCAAATTATGGAATTTTAAAGATTTCGATCGTAACTGGCCTGAAGGGAACACGGGCAGTTGTCAGGGCGAGAACATGACACGGGAAGCATGCTGTGTTTCCGTGCCACGTCCGTAACAGCCCATTGTGGGCTGCCAGAAACTACGCACGGGTGAGCCTGTGGAAAGAATAACATTTCCTAAACGTCGGATAATCCATAAGGGACAATTTATTGCCGTCCATTACCTTAATATGTATTGGCTCTGAGCGACCGCACGCGAGCGGCCTGGGGAGCGCAGCACTGTGTACAGGCCGACTGCTTTATGGTGGGCGGCCTTCACTCTGCGCATTCGGCGCGTCAACACTGAAGTGGAGGGGGTAATGAGACATTGCATTCCCCATGAAGGGAAAGGAACATTACTGGATTTGAGGGTGCGCGCGCTGTGCCCACCCGCTTCCTGCTAAGAGTACACTGACATCTGAATAATACAGAAATGTTCGTACTTCGCAGGAAACACCGCCTCTTCATGAGAACCAACCGTTCATAGGAATTGAGGTTCTCGCAGCGGTCGTCATGAAGGGTTCTGTCTTCTGGAACATAACGGCGTGTAGTCCATTCGAAGTGAAGCGAAATTTCGGAGGAACATATCGTCTCTATCTTCAAGGTCGGAGAATATACTGATCAAGAGGAAACCAGCATGGAAGCAGGTCTGCTTGTCACCTGCTGTCTCGCTGCTTTCCTGTTTACCTTCTTTTTCGGCCCTAAAGATGGAAGCAGGTGGCAAGGAGGTCTGATTTCACGATGAATTCTAGCCTAGCTTATTTATCGACCCTGAAGATGGAGGCTAAATATTCCTCCGAAACGTCGGTGGACTTTTAACGGACTACACGGCGTTGTATCCTAGGAGATAGAACTGTTGACAACCAACGGGAGATAATGGCTAGTTATTCTGAGACTCGCACAAACAAATACCCCCGTAGAGGGGGAGTGACCAGTAATAGTGACACCCGTCCTCTCGTCGCAGAGGAGGCCCCATTTCAAAAGAGGTAAAAGTCCTGGAAAGAACGAAAATATGTTCATGGGACCCGACGCGATTCCGAACCAAGACTGCGCTGGCGAAGCCGGCAGAAATTTAGCCGACCGAACGAAAGAATCGCACGAAACGTCAAAACTGTGTCGTAAATGTGCAGAGGCTCTGGGCTTTAAAGCAGCCGGGACGTGTAGTTAGGGTTAGTACAGTCTCGTTAGCAGTGCAGACGGACACGCGTCGTTACGCCTTTTAGTTATGCGAACAAGGTTTGTGGTCACCCTGTCGCAACAGCCTGTTTGTCGTATCGACCGACTTCAGTTAGCACAGTTTAACCCAATGACGTAATTTCTGTCACCCTTCCGAGCCCAACGGGACACTTACATATCTCAATATGGGCTTTGGGGTGGATCTGGGGGAATTTTTATAAGAGGAACGAGAAGCTTTCAGTTGGCAATCTTACGTTACAAATGGAGTTTGCGAGGTTGTCCTGACAGATGCCATCTCCACAGCTTCACACGTTTCGCCTTCTCGTCAGAGCTTCCCGCTACAAGGGAAACACGAAGCAACTGGTGCATTAGGGAAAATTCCTTCCTGAGGTCACGATTGTGAATATATTTATGGGCTATATAACGACGCCGAATTGTAAATGACGAGGAAGCACGAGCTACTATCCCAGAATTTGTGTGTAGGGACTGAGGAAATCCATGAAAACCCTCAATCCGTGTACTTGTAGTCAGGGTGGGGGTGCCAACATGTCATGCCCCACGGAATACAGGGGAAGGGGTTCGGCAAGATTCTGTCACGTGACAGCTCAACTGGGTGGGAAGCGGTTGTGGCCTACTTCACTCCAGCGAACAGACTGGCACAGAAATATACCAATTCGCTGCAATGTTTTTGTGTTTCTTAGCTGCAGAATGAAAGCAATAACTAGCTCCATGGACCAGAGACCTTCTTGAGGAGCTAACAGTTGTTG